TGTAACAAATTGTAAGACATAACCATGTTTTCAGAAGGGATACACCCTGAATCTTGGAGTTCTCTGCTCTGTTGACTTACATGTATAAAAGCAAATTCACATGGTGACAGCTAACAGAGCTTTAAATTGTGGTTTGATTGTAAGTAGAGAAAAACCATAATCCTTCTGAACCTTATTATCATTATTAGTTATAAAGTTCTGTCAGAGCTCCTAAATGTCATGATTCCATGCAATACAATTGTTTTTTCTTAATTATCTCTTCCGTAGGTTTTCCCAAAGTGTGACATGGGATGGGCAGGCTTAGGAGAGTGGAATTTGATGAAAAAAGTTATGAACTACAGTATTTATTCAGAAAGAAAAACATGGTCAGGGTGAGTTGTGACCTCACTGTATTTAATGTTTCCTTAAAAAAATTGGGGACGGTGTAAAAATATAGCATTTATCATGAACATGAATTAATCAAAATCAGCAGGAATAAGAAGCCACAGAGAAATGGCCTGAGGCATTTTCCTCTGCTATAATTCACCAAATAAGGACTTACCTGAAGATTACTTTACATGAACCACCATACACAAGTACACACATATGCATTCATCCATGCAAGCAAACAGAAAAGTGGTCTTATAGTGCTAAGCAAATTCTGGCTAAGCAAACCCTCTCTTACATAATGTTCTTTAACTATCACACTACCCTACTTCAAAACTATTCAGTGTTATTTCAAACACTCAGGAAAGCCAATCCCCTCATGAGTCTCTTGCTTAGAGCTCTGCTGTTTATAGGAGAAATAAGGTATAAAAGTTGCTGGATTAAGTTGAATATTTTAAGGTTTACCGTTTTTCAGATTACTCAATAAAATACTGAGTCTATATGCAGTTATTACCACACAGCCCTAGCAAGGACAGGGCCAAAATAGGGCCAGGTTTTTTATTCCATTGAATTGGAAATCTTCATTTTATTTTTTATCATTATTTTTCAATTTATGTATTTGGCACAGGGTCCAGCTATGCAGCTTGGACTTGTACTGATCTTCCTGTTTTCAGCCTCCCCAGCACTGGGATTACAGGCATGCGCCACCATGCCTGGTCTCAGTGGCCAGCTCAGCACACCCAGGAATGGGGCCAGAATGGCCTTCTGTACTGGGAATTGAACCCTGGTCCTTGTGCTTGCCTAAGCAGGTGCTTAGTCCACAAACTGGACATTTTCAAATATTTGATTCTATTTTGTGTGAACTCTACCTCTTTCTATAAAAATACTGGGTGTCTTATTGTTTGCTTGGTCTTCTGAGAAAACCCATTATACTGTTAAAGCTGGCCTTGAACTCACTATGTAGCCCAGTCTAGCCTTGAACTCATAGAGATCCTCTTGCCTCAGTCCCCTGACTTTTGGCATTATGGGTGTACACCACCGTGCCCAGCAGTACTGGGTATTTTACAGGCCTTATAGACTATAAAAGATTTTGGGGTGTTGCTTAAAGGTCTGTTCTAGCAACACAACTGTAAACATGAGTACTAAACAGAAGCTGGAATGTCAAAACTTTGTTGTAAGCTCAGTATACTCCAAGGTCAGCTTACAACTTCTGGGAACCTACAGAATAAAGGGCTCAGACAGGGAATTCAATAGTTACATTAGATAATGTGCTAAAGAGGAATCTGGAAAGCATGAATTAATTCTCAAGGCCAACAATTTTAAGCTGTTCAACTTTTGGGTACTCCAACCCAATTCTCAAGTGGCTTGAATTACTTAGGTTTACTCAACAGGTACAAACTAGTTTTATATAACTCAAACCCAAGGTAGGTACTCTAAAAGACCATAAAATATAATGAACTTTTAGTGATCTCCTTTGTGGATCTCAAACTGCCAAGAGCGATTCTTTAGAATGAGCTCTACAGTAACTGTAAAATGGTATAATCAACAAGGTATGGTGGCTAGAGTACTCACAGAAGCAAATCCCCAACAAGCAAGGCAGCCAAGGCACAATGGTTTCTTAACCAGTAGCTTTACGAAAGTATTATTTTGAGGCAATGATTAATAATTTGAAGCATCATCAAGGTCACAGCTGATATTTTGGCTGACACACATGAAAATAACTGAGTTTTATTTATTTTATGCATTTAGTACAGGGTCTACAGGGTCTCACTACACAGATTGGACTTGCAGTGCTCCTTCCTAGTTTCAGCTCCCAAGCGCCAGGATTACAGCTGTGCGCCAACAAGCCCAGTCTCAACTGTGTCTCAGCACACCATGGGGGTGGGGCCCGGCATGGCATGCTGGGGATTGAATACCAGCTGCTGCGCTCTGCCTAAGCAGGTGCCTTAATCCGCTGAGCTATCTGGCAGGGCCAAATAGTGAGTTTTAAAATATTTAGTGTCAGGAAACTAAAGTTACTTCCAAAGTACTAGTAATTAATGAGATGAGGAAAAAAAAAAAAAAAAAAAAAAAATATATATATATATATATATATATATAGTATTTTCATTCCTGCCCCACTAGATCTCCAGCAAATTTTCTTGAAGGTTACATTCTACATACACAAAATATAAAGACAAGAACAGATTTTCCCAATAACTTATAATTTTAATTATTCACATAGTACATTCTCCTTGGAGAAAAATCAACAAAATATCTTTATTATGTATTATAGTAAAATTCTCAATCTCTCTCAACTTTTCACCAATATACTGCTTTTAATCCTAATTGACTTACATAAATACAGCAGAATAGCCTAATACAATTATGTACAAAGAGGTCCTTTCTCTTTATAAGTGGAAAGTCTACAGGATTGGCAGGACTTTTTATTTTGCTTATGAGACTGGGACACGGTAGGTGACCTTAACATAAGCTTAACTGCCAGACTCATGAGACCTCAACCTTAACTCTGGCTTATCTTTCACATCATAAGTAACATTTCCACCAATCCCTTGTACTCACTGGGCTGAACACACCTGTCTCATCTCATCTTTGACTTCTCCCAGTGCCTCCCCAGGACTCTGCTTCCGTGTTTTCTCATCATCTTTGAGGAAGGAAGTCTGCCTTGGATCATCTCAATTTATAGGAATCCCCAGAGTAATAACACTGCTTCTACAATTTTCTTTCTTCACTGACTGCTTATTCTCACACAAAGAGAAATGGGGGTAAGAGCAGAAGCCCTACAGGGCTACTAAAGCTTTCCTTCTTTCAATCCCCAGTGTTACCATCCTTTCTGTTTCTTGCTCATCACAGGTCCATCATTAGCACCAAGAGGTCAACACAATGACCAGTCTCCTTACCTGTCCTTCCCTTAACAACACTAACCTCCTCTCTTGTCTTCAACAAATCTAACCATTAAACTCCCTTCCAAATCATTCACACCACTAGTTTACAGGGAACAGCCTTAGTATACTCTTTTGTTGATGAGCTGTTTTAACACTGTCCCCTTGAATGTCTTTATGTCCTTGTCCTCTTCACCTCCTAACCAAACCTTAGATGTTTGCTTTTCTCACATTTTTTGCTTTATGTTAAACAAGAGGAGCATACAAAACCACACATATATGCATACTAAAAATTTCTAAATGGACTCGTATCTTTACACACCAATTACTTCAAATATACTGAAAAGTTTATTCTCAAAGATTTACTATTGGTTTTGTAGTACTGGGGACAAATCCCAGGGTGCTCCACCACTGAGCATTTTTACATTGCCTAGGCTATATTTAAAACCTGTTCTCTTTTGCTATCACATCAAGACTAACCTCTTTTTACTAATTTTCAAGGCATTATATACCTAGTTTGTCAGTAGACCCTGTATATAGCACCTCCAGAGTATATCTCCTTAGGGTCCTGACCTCCTAGCCCCTTCAGAACCTGCTAATAGCTGGCTTTAGTCAGAGATTCAACCCTTTCACTTTAGGGTACAGATTTTTCCCTGTTCTCATCTAAATTTAAGTCACCTTAGTCCCACACTTTCATGAAGCCTCTCCCTGTATCAGCTTACAACGACTTCTGTAAGGGCTATCTTTACTTTTGTATTAGTATGCTATCTGATTTGCTCACTGAACACTACATGTGTGGAGACTTAAAGATACTATTCCAATTATCTAGCTCTGAGGGGTACACAGTAGGTACTAACTCAAGAGTCACACAACACTAAAAGCAAAGCAACAGTTTGACACCAGATAATTTGGTTATGCCTGTTTCATAAAATAAAGATATATAATTATAGAGAAAAACTTCTTGTATTTATAAACATATGATATCCATCTACTAAAACTAATTAAGTAGACTTGGTAAACTTCATGAAGAAAAACTTCTCAATCTTTCTTTTTTTAATATATTTGGTAAAAGGGCTCACTAGGCAGCTTGGACTTGCAGTGATCATCCCATTTTCAACCTCCCCAGCACTGGGATTACAGGGATTATAGGCATTACAGGCATGAAACACCACGCTCAGTCTTGGTGGCCTGCTCAGCACACCCGGGGGGAGGACCAGTGCAGCACATGGTGCTGGGGATTGAACCCTGGTTCCTATACTTGCGTAAGCAGGTGTTTAGTCCGCTGAGCTATCTCACCAGCCCCAAGCCCCCAAATTTTATATACTAACATAGATAAAAACATCCCCCAGCTTGTATGTCTACATAAATAATATGGTAGTCTTCAGGTAGGATTTCAATGTCTTTAGCAATATCTTGGTGTATGTACCTTCCTGTGAATGTAAGTCACATTAGAAGAGAGGTGTTTGAAATACCATTTAAAGAGGAGCCAGATTAGTAAAAATGTGCCAGAAAAGATACATTAAAGTTGTTCTCTTTATCCAGATTCTTTATCATCTTCCTTTTTTTTTTGTATTGGGAATTGAACTCATAACCTCAGGCTTCCCAGGCAGGCCCTGTGCCACTGAGGTATACCCCCAGCCCTAAGGTGTTGTCTTTAAAAGAAACACATATTAAGGAAGGCTCTACTTAATTCCCAGAATGTTAAGTACAAAGACATGAGTGTGCATATATATAACAAATATACGTATATATGTCCTATTAAGATTTTCTCACTTCTCTTCAAATTATCACATATTTTAGAATATGAAGCATATTCAACACCCTGTTGCTAACATCAGAGCAGTTACTGAGAGATGAATAATGAAATGAGCTGGACTGGTATGACTGCTCTTGTGATTAATATCTATCAAGAGCTCTCATTTTTTTAAAAAGTGAAAAAGAACTACCAATAGACTGTTCACCTTGGTGACAGGCTCTGTATTTTATTCAATTTTGCAGCCCTCAATATCTAGTTCAGGTCACTATACACAAGTACTATACTCAGTTACTTAATGAATACTTTGTTGAAATAAAGGAAAAATACACAATACACCACCTGGAAAACCAAATACAAGTAGAACAAGAAAGAAAGCATCATTAATTAAAAATGTTTTCGAATGGAAGTTAAAAAAAAAAAAAAAAGATTAAGGAGGCACTTGACATCATATAACTAAAATCATTCAGCCAACAATCTGTTTCCCATAATGGCACTAAAATCATTTCAAGGCAGCAAGTTCTTAACCCTTTTCTTTTTTCCTGAGGTAGGAAAATGTTGCCAAACCCTTTATAAATCTAGTAACTATGGAACTTCTCTCCCAGAAAAATAAAACGGATATATGTACATGCACACAAATTCATAATCTTGTATGTACCTTTCAAGAGTTCTGGACTCCAAGTTAAAAATTTCCATGTTAAGAAAAAGACTAGTCACTTTTTAAAGGTTAAAGATGTGGAAGTCTGTAAAATTTTCCTGTGAAAGGTGAATCACGCAGGAATTTGTCAAAAACAAACCAGAAACTTCTTAGTATTTCTCACTCTTTACTATTATTTGGTTACAACTTACTTGCTACATGAAATGAGGCTTTGGTATAAAATCATGACTGTGAAGACTGCTACAAAACCATATTAAATAAAATATTAAGTGAGCAAAAGCATAAAGTCTTAAAAGGTCTGGAAATTACACAGTGAATCAAAAGATCATTTTAGCCATTCTACGTAAACAGAGAGAAGCTGGAGCCTTCATTTCCCAAGAAGCAGTTCCTTAATTCAGGGTGCGCAGGAAGAAGGGAGAAAGGAGAAGCAGGCAGGATGCTGCCTTGGGAAATCTACTCAGGACTGTGGCTAAATGTGGGCAAACGTACAGGTTTCTGCACAAATTATGCATGAGAAAGACCAGAAAAGAAGCTCTGTTTAACAGATATACCTCTTAACACCAAATGAGTATACAGCTAGCCAGCTGCTATGGCTTTGTAAGAAGATTCAGACAATTGAAGGCTTACATTAAAAGTGGGAATACATCATTACAATGAGGCAAAATTTTACAATAGTGTCCAGAGGCCTTAGCCTTACAGGAGACAGCAGCTAAGCCTTGGCCTTTTAATGCGAAAATGAAAAGCCCAAGTAAATTAATCTATGATTAAAGGCTGATGCTTAATAATCAGTAATATTCCACTGGCATTTTCTAAATCAGTAATTTTCTGGTAATGTCTTAAAAAACACTTCTAAGTGAAAAGTAATATACAAATGCTGAATTTTTAAAAATGTAACTTAAATGACTTATTAGCTGCTTCTGCAGCCTCAGTTAACCAGACCTAAGGATATTTGAGAACAAATTTTTATTTTACCTCACTATTCCACGGGATAAAGCCATTTAACTTGTTGCATGATACCTAACAGAAATTAGATTTTATAGAGAGAAGTTACCTTGCAAATTCCAATTCTAATATAATATTAACATCATCCCCTAATGAGGAATTTTTATTATTATTTTAAATCTCCAGGGTTCTTTTTGGTGTTCATAACACTCCTGTAATATTTTTTAACAAATTAAAGCATACCTTTTATGTCACAATTTTTTAAAAATCAAGAGGAGGTCCAACTTTCCCTCTCTTCCCAGGTGCTGTTTCACTTAGAATATGGTCATGTTTCCTAAATCAGCTTTCACTTTATTTTCTTTTATTGTCATTTTAAAAACTATTTCAAAAAATTAAGTATTATCAAAAAACATCATCTTACATTATGTTCTAATAAAGTACTCCACTACTGTCTAAATAACTAAAGTTATCTAGTACAACTCACATAGCCTAATTTTTGAAGACACTTGATCTGTTCTTCCACATGGTCTCATTATGATCACATACTTATAGTCTTGTCAGCACATTTCAGTTATTAAACAATGAAATTTCCAAACAGATATCCCACTGAACTACTGTTTGTTCAATAAAAATGCTATTACTATGGCTGCTACTCACACACAATGTTTACCCCATGTTCAAGTTTTTAATAAATTTACTAGAAGTTTAAATCCTGTTTTTTTGAGGCATTTCCTGGTATACTAGGCAGTGCATTAGAAGATTATACTGCATTTAGGCCATAATAATTACCTTTTAACCATCTATGTATAATTAATACCATTTCAAAAGAAAGTGCAAATGTGCAAATGAGAGAACAAAACAGTTTCTACACATGTAATGCATTATATAGGATATAAATCTAGGCAACTAAAAACAAGAGCTGATAACATCTTTTGAGCATTAAATGACATTACCAATTTTGTTTTATATGTATTCTTTTCAAATACTCAAAGAATGCAACAAACATTATCTTCTTTTCCAAATTTTAGGACATATTACCATTTCTTCACAAATCAGAAAACAAAGAACTATTATTACCTTTGTATATTTTCAGTAATAGAGCCAAAACAAGAACAATTCTATCTAATCTCATCTGGGATCTTAATTAGTCCTATAAATTTATTTGTATGAGTTAAAAATAGTATCACTCATCAGAAACAATGCCAAAATTATTGTGCTAATAAATTATGTTAAAGGCCTAGTGAATAAATACTTCAGCAACTATGAGGTAACACACTAGTTCTAGGCATGAGGAACGTTTATATTGGCTCTTGTGGGTGTATACATTAAATGCAAAATCAGAAAGGAATCATGCAAAATCCGGTTGCCCATGCAAGCACCCCAGAGTCTAATCCTCTCCTCTCAGTTCTGTTGTCAGGCCACAGTAGTGTGGAGACTTGTAGGCTGCTGTCCTTGTTGTAATGAATGGGAAGAGGCTGACAGTGGCATGGTCGAAACCTTCACCTCTTCTTCCCCTGTGGAAAAGTCAGTCATGGTCTAGTTATGGGTGACTAGATTTGTTAACAGTCCCTTTAAAAATGACTTCAATATTTGGAATATTGATACATATACAAAATACATGCTTAATGGTTGGAATCTGGGTGTGAAACAAGACACAAATTTTAAAATAAACTTATCAAGTATGTAGAAACACTCTAAACACACCCTTTTAAAAAACTATGTTTAAAACTATGTCAAGAGATAAGATCAACTGTAATAGATTTAAATTACAAATATACTACCAAAAAAAAAGGACCAGGAAAGCCATTCTTATCCAAGCCAATTGGACCCCTTATACAGATACTGCTAATACGAAACAATGTTTTGTGAAAAAATTAGTTGATTCATCAAGTAAAAAAGTGATTTTTAAAAGAGGAAAATAATAAATCCATGTCTTAAAGGCATTAAAAGTTGTATACTAGGAAAAATGAATTTATATGTAAATATTAACAGTATGTTACCATACAATATCTGAAAATTTAATGTTTACTTATGAAGCAGAAAATAATAAAATGCTAACAATAATGATCCAATTGACTAAAAGCAAGATGACTACTTCTAGGTCAGAGAACTATACATGAATAAACTCATTTCTCCTAATATAATTGAGTATTATTTTACCAGAAGTGAACTGTTTCACATGTGACTCGAAATTCAATTAAGTCACTTGGAATACAGAAACAAAGAAATTTTAAGAAAAATGCCTTTTCATAAGTAATGTGAATTAACAAAAACATGAAAAAAATCCTAAGCCTGAACAATTTCAAATATTTTTAAGTATACGTTGAAACAACAATGCTTACAGACTTAAACTTACTATTGTTTGTTTTACAATTTTTAGCATTATAGAATAAAAACTTTGGCAAAGAGTTCTCTAGAAAAATAAATCTGCAAAATTACATAGCTTAACTGACAAAGTGCACAAAAAAAAAAATCTTTCAATCAACAAACAGGTTAATTCATAGTTTTTCAGAAAACCACAAAAGTTCCTATAAACTTCAAGTACAAAACAATGAGGTCATGTAAAACAAACTATAGTTCTTGGTGGCACCATGCACTAACGAGGACTAAGCAAAGATCAATACGTGTTTACTACAGGCCATATCCCTGAACGTGGCTAGTGTGACTTATGAATAGATTCTACTGATAAAATGGGACTTGCAAGTATGTGAGAGCAGAAATCAATTACTATGGGAAGAAAGCCAAGTTAAGTACATGCCAGTGATCGTCAATTGTGGAAAAGAGTATCAGTGTGGTCGTGCAAAAACATTTCTATTGCTGATTTTGAGGTCTGAGTTCTTATGCTAATTGTACAGCTAACTGAATGTGTGGTCTTTAACAAATTGTTTAAATCTTTTATAAAACACCCCTGTCATTTTTAAAATGAAGAAACAGGACATGTCACTTTTTAAAACAAATATAGATTTACAACTGGCCACTAATCAGTTTTGTCCCAATATTGTTCATTTTAAAAATCTTTCTAAAAGCAAACCAGATGTGCAGCCAAGAAAATGTTGCTCACAAGATTTCATCTAATTAAGAAAATAATTACTTTTAAACACAAACATGTTTTCAATTACACAAAGGAAGCAGAAGCCCAATTTCTGTCAAACTTCTGGCAACTGTTTGTTCTTCCCATGAGAGGTTTCAGATATCTGTTTTTAATAATTAACTAAACAAATCATAACTAAAAATGTAAATACAAATAGATAATAAAAAGACATGAAATCTGTGTGATATATACGTGGCTGCCACCTTCCATTTGTTCTTACAGTTCAGGGAATCTATTTTTCTCTACATTTCTATAGAATAAATATACACACTATTCCCAGTATAGAATTAGTTTAAAATAAGTAAATGTTAAAAATATTAGATCCCATTGAAACAATACATAGTCTCCATTACTAAAGTCTTTACTACTAGCTGCCCCGTATAAGGTACCATGATAAGCAGTGGAGAATATGAAGTTGATTCTTTTCAATAGCTCAACTCAAGTAGTACTGGCTTATAACTAGAGATGGAAAAGGTAGGTACCCACCAGTTATTTAAACTCCTTCAAATCAAACACAGTTAAGTTGTATATAGTTTTCCAGATATTTTACTCTGTCATTTCTAACAGTTACTGAAAATTCTAAATTATCTGGCTACAATTATAAACCTATTCTGTTTTGAGGATTGCTGACATAGTTTCCTGAGGTATCTGTCAACTATTTATACACCATGACAGAATTCTGGTGATTTTAAATATTGTGGCATATTAAAAATGAAATTTCCATAGCCATCACAACCTTAAAAATAATCTAATAAGCTTAACCAAAAGTCACCATTTAAGTACCAAACAAATAGGCATAGCTCAAAATTGAAAATCTGAAATAACAAACTCCCCCACTCACCACCAAACCACACTGATTCAAAATGTAAAGTTGGTGACTTAATTTTTGGCACATTTGAAAAAAAAATTTAATATTCTATAGTTCGGTATATGGTAAAAGTAAAAAACAAAAAAGCCTCATGAGGACAGAACTCTAATGCTACATTTAATAAATAACAAGGGCCAGGGACATAGCTCAGCAGCATAGAGCCTGCCTGACAAATGTGAGGTCTTGAGTTCAATTCCTGGTACCCAAAAATAAAACAAAACAAAACAAAACAAAAAACCCAAAATATTGTATTTTTTATCGTATTTTATATGAATGTTTCAAATAACTAAACAGAACTACTACACTCACTAACCAGTGACTTCTCATTACCAGTGTGGCATTTCCAAAATACCTACTTACTTGCAACTTTTGCATTGAAACTGCTCCTCAGTGCTAATGGGCAACATGACGACCAAGAATTTGGAAGAACGCATCACTTATCAAGATGGTCAAGTAACAAGTCAAATAGAAGAACAAAGTGAAGACAGCTTAGAAGCAGAGTCCCACATGAAGCCCATGCTGGTCTGCCTCATCGGCAGATGCCTCATCCTGTCCTCAAACATCTCTCTACAATTTATGCAGCACGTCTTATTGCAAAACGCAATCTGATTGACTCTTAAGGTAATGATACCAATGCCTGCGCCTCAGCCTGTCTCCGGACATTTCCACCAACATAAAAGACCTACCTGGCTCTTTCTTTGCTGCTGACACAAATCCTAAACATCATCTTAAGAGATCAATTCCTTACTTCTTCAATGAAGTCTCCTCAGCAATTACAGGCTACACTGATGTCTCAAATTCCAGTACCACACAGACAGTTACCACCTTCACAAATGATTTGAATCTTATCTCTTCAATATCCTCTACCTGCAAATAGTAGCCAAGTTTCATACTTCTTTTGTATTTCTACATGGGCTAGTTCACTGTTGGAAAAACAGGAGCTGATGTAACACTGTAATTGGTTTCACATTTTATTTTTAATGTGTAGAATATTTAGGGGAACTTAAAATTTTTATTATTGTAACTGGGTAAGAGGATTCACTAGTAATTAAAAAGCTACTTTTAAAAATGATTAACAAAGCAAAGCAAAACAAAATTATATTCTAATACGCTATCCTGAATGGAAAAAAAGGTGTGATACATACTGAACAATGAAGTGCTTCACAAGTGCTATCTTGCAAAAGGAAAAGACTAAAAATTGCCTCTCTGGATTACCTACTACCTACTATAATTAAATAAACAAATATCACAAACCTTATCAGTGTATAAATCACTAATAGATGCTCTCAAATTTATATGAACTAGCCTCACGGTGTCAACTGTTAATTTCACTATATCCATAGCCACAAACTAAGACCTAGGTACTTGTGTAGAGCACAGGTCGTTTTTGGTTTTAAGAAAAAACAGAGCCAAAATATCTGGATGGGTAATCTAGAAAGTCATCTCTCAACCCTGCTAAAAACTAGAAAACATATTTTACTGGTAAAAGTACACCACTGACAGACACCGCTGTGCCATGTCATACCTTAAAGGCCATGGCAAGAGATAAAAACAGACTACATAAGTGATATAACAGAGTAAGGGACTATCAAACTCTTTCACATCATCTCTATAGCCCAAATTTAAACAACACATTAACAAGATTAACTCTCTAGAAGACAGTTTATCTAAAAAATGTTATACAGGATCTTGAAACCCAAAAGCTCTGAAACCTTCAAGGGTGGCAGTATAAAACCAGAAGTACTCTGGCATAAAACTTGTATTACCTTATATATACCTAACACTTTCCCCTAGAAATAAAAATGTGACAGATTAAAAAGGGTAAATATCTTTGAATAATTCTTTTACACAAAAAGTACATCTGTAATATATGATATGCTTACACAACATTAATGATCAGTCCTCAAATATTAAGTACTCTGTTAATATATAGCACAATTTTGATGTGTGTATGTGTTTATTGGTCTAGATAAGTAACTGCCAAAAGTAGTTAAGAGTGGCTTTATCCCTCATGCTCTCATTATTCAAAAAATTTTAACCCCTTTGTAATTTTAGAATGTAAAATCAGAATTTTTACTATGGTGTTGGACTTCATAGCACCATAATTTCAGAGGTCATTTTCTTCTTGTATTTATATACCATCTGAAAATCTGATAACTATCCGTAAAATGCTTTCAAACAATATCTAGGTATAATACTCCACCATCCTTATAAAGCTCAATATTACAAGGCATCCATCTGATTAAAAATTTTTTAGAATATGATAAAGACTTTAATATTTTCTCATAGAAATTTCCAGTAAGTATTTTGTTACCCACCACCCTGCCCCCAACACCCTGAAGGTATGAGTTATTAAAGAGTTCTCAAAAGGTTTTAACCGAACCTACCTGCTATAGGGATCCCTCCCAGACCTGTGCTGTGCTGTGGCGGGAGATTCAAGTCCAAGAAATGACTATTTGAGGTGGGATTTGCTGTGTGGTTCAAGTGCATGACGCTATTGCGTGGAAAGGCCATCCAAGGATAGCGGGCTGCCTGGCCTGGAAAACTGAATGAATTATAAACTGCTCGATGCTGCTGAAACTGAGGGAACCTCTGTGGCAAGACTGAAAAGGTACTATTGAGAGAGTTGGCATTTGCAGGTGCAGCAGGATGCAGGAATCCAGAGCCTGGGCCTTTGGCGGTTGTAGTGTGTGAAGAGGAGTTCTGAAGAGATGTGGGCGAAAGGGAAGGTTGGTCTTGAACAGACAGTTCCTTTTCAATCAGGTCTGCTAAGGCTTTTCTAGTAACATCAAAGGGATCAAAACCCAAGTCATCCTCTGGTTGTTTAGAAGAACCAAAGCCAAATGCTGCTTGCCAGTCTGTAGAGGATGACACTGGGATAGTCTCTGTTGGGAAGAGAAATAGTGATGAATATGAAATACAGAATTCACTTTCACACTTAATTAGGATCCACACTAGTGCAAGTTAAGCATGTCACATAACAAAATAAAAGCAATTGTTATTGCTCATACCTAGATGTTTTCCCATCAAGGGCACTAGGACTAAGGATGTGAGTGCTACCTGCCCTGAGTAGTCTGGATAAGATAAAAGGGATAGAAAGAGCTGTGGTTGCTTCCTTATCTTCTGCCAAAGCTTCATGCAGTCATAGACAGGGCTTTTCCAGAGGTGGTTAAATCTTGAGTGTGTGACACTGGGATTGATTCATGGTGTAATAGGGCATTAGGATTAAGGGGGTGAGTGCTATCCACCTTAAGTGGCCTGGATGAGATATAAAGGATAGAAAGAGCTACAGTCATTCCTTATTGCTTTAGTATCTTCTGTCTGCTGTGAACTATTTCTTCCCTGCAAGGCTCTTCTGCTGTGCCACCCTGCCTTGGAACCAGCTGCCATGGACTGAAACTTCTATAAACTGTGAGATAAATAAGCCCTTTCTCCTTTAACTTTGAGTGTTTGGTATTTTCTCTCACCAACAGGAAAATTAACTAAGAATCTGGTACAAGAGAAGAGTAGTCACTGCTGTAACAGTACCTGTGCTTTAGGAGCCTTTGGTACAGACTTGTGGGAAGTGGAAGAGTTAGGAAAGGTTCAGAGATGCTGACTGAAAAAGTAGAGCCAGAACACCTTAGACTGTACTGTATGGGAGATTCTGGTCAGAGCTCGGAAGACCAGAATGCTAGTAAAGAACAAGCACAGGAGGTTTCTGCTGAGGACTGCTCTGGCTGTTGGCCTTCAGACAATGTATGTAATGCCTTGGCAGAAGTTTGCCTGCGTTTTGCTTGTGTTGTGAGACTTTGCCTGAGACTAAATGTAGTGGACTAATTAATCTCATGGAGTAAGTTTCAAGACAGTCTAATGCTGAGGCACTGGCACTGGCTACTGTTGGGTTTTTACCAAGAATAAAGAACCCAGCAGCAGCATGGTTTAAAACATTTTGAGTTTGGCCAGAAAGGAACGTACTTTAAAGCCTGTGGACTGCAAAAAACAGCAGAGATCTTTACTGCTGAGAAAAAAAAAACCAGGAGAACAGAAAAAGATGGCCTGAGGGCATTACAAGAAGCAGCAGGGTCCCACCCTTGTAGCCTCAAAATTGTAAAAGTGAAAGATTGTGCTTTGAGAAGAGAGCTCCAGGGCATCATCTTACTGCAGGGTAGGGAATGCAGAATGGCTATAGGGTAGGAAAGCTGCTCCTCAGGATTTGGTCCATAAGCACTAGAGCCCTACAATCAAGAAAGAAGGAAGGTGGGGCCAGGGAGATGGCTCAGTGGAATAAATGCTTTCCTGGCAAGCGCAAGGGCCTGAGTTCAATCCCCGGTTCCACCAAAGAAAGAAAGAAAGAGAGAGAGAGAGAGAGAGAGAGAGAGAGAGAGAGAGAGAGAGGTTTCCAATTGATCAGGATGGTCCTAGAACAAAAGGCAACAAACTGGGCCAGTGAGAAAGCTCAGCAGATTAAGCACCTGCTTATGCAAGCACAGGGGCTGAGGTTCGATCCAAGGTGCCATGCACTAGTCCCAGCCCCCCCAGTCACACTGAGCTGTCTAGCTAGTATGGGTGTGGTGCTGCATGCCTAGAAATCTCAGTGCTGGGGAAGCTGAAAGCAGGAGGATCATTAAAGTCTGAGGTGTGTAGTGAGACCCTGTACCAAATACATTTTTTTAAATTTTATTTATGAGAGAGAGAGAGAGAGAGAGAGAGAGAGAGTGTGTGTGGTGTGTGTGTGTCCAGCTCAGCCCACCAGGGGGCGGGGCTGGCTGGCATGTGGTGCTGGGGGAT